GACTATATGTTCATTTTTCGCCAGAAGCGAAATTATAAAATATTTTTCAACCGAAAAACAATAAGATTGTCATTCGAAAGTGACAAATGAGTACAAGTCTTTGAGGTCCACGACGTGAAAAGCGCGGCTCGCGCTTGAAAAATATTTAATATCTTTCGATTGTAAAAAAAACCTCCAACAAATTGTAAAAAGAATTTTGTTGCAGAGAAAAAAAGAAAATATATTTCTTTTTTGGATCGATTCAATTCGGGTAAAGGCCGAGTAAAATCTTTGTAAATATTAAGGGTTGTTATTGTTAAGAAAATTGCAAAACAAAAAAAAAATTTTTAATCATTACAAAGTTCACTTCAATATGAGTGTAATAAAAAAAAATAATACTGATCGGATCAGCACATCCGGAGATAATTAATTTACCGCAGATGATGTTGTTCATAGAAATGAGCAAAAAATCCATATTTCAATCGTAAATATTTACGTCAAAAAATTTTTTTCAGCAAAATCCTGAAATACGTGTCAAATGATTTTATGAATAGTATCTGTAAACAAATTTTCAGACAATTCTAAAATGTCAAGGTTAAAAAGTGTCCGGTTTGTAAAAGAATGACCCATATATATATATATATATATATATATATTTGTTTCCTTCTCAAAACATTTTCAATTTGTTTTTGCTGGAAACGGCCTTTAATAATTAATTGACTGTTGCCGTCTACGGAACCACTGGTACCCAATTCAGCTAACAAGAAATCTAATAAATGTTTAGGTTGCCTAAAAACAAAATATTCAAATGTATAAACAAATATCTATAAAGTAACAAGCATATTACATCATTTGTAACATATAAAGTAACAATTACATAGCCCTAAGATAATTATTTCTATTTACCTATGCAGGGTTCTGCAAATATCAGTGAAATTAGCAAATGAAGTCTTCTTTGTTCCAATTTTCACAACTTGTGGAGGTCTCATTACAAACTTCTGCTTTTTGCCTGCTACCATATCAGGATTCTTGTCATGCATAATTTCAAAAACTCTATTTAGCAACTCGTCATATGTGTAATCACGATCAGAACCATGCCACGAGGTACTGCTCATTTCAACTAAAGCACAAAACTAATTAATATACAACAAATACATGATGTTAATGGTAATACATACAACTGAATAATTTGAGAGCACTTGGTAAATGATAAATGTATTTATCTTACCGGTTTCAAACTTGCCTTCCAAATCGGTGCAGCATGTTGTATTAAAATTATTATAGAAAAAAAAATTATTTTGAAATCACTGTAGGAATTTATCAAAACAAAAATCTGCTCCAAACTATGAATGTACCACAATTTTTTAAATTACATAGTAGTAGTGATCTATTTACCATTCTCTTTGTCCTCAGATTTCTGATCCTCTTCTGAAACCAGAACATCTAAATCCTTCTTCTTCTTCCTTTTCTTTTTCGTTTTTGAAAAGTCCATGTCCAGATCGAAATCATCATCGACAGGGGCCTCTTCGGGAGCTGCACCTGATTCGGCAGCATCATTAGCACCTTCTTTACTTTCTGAGAAAATAAAAATACTCATCAGCATTTATATGCATATTAAAAACCTGAAATAAAGTTTGATAATGAGTATAAGTAGTAAATATTAATGTCAGTTTATCTATAAAAGTATAAAACAAATATAAAAATACATTTTTAGACAAATTACAATGTATTTATTTATCTTTAGACAATTCCAGGCAACTTGCAACTGTTCCAGACAACTCGTAATTGTTAAAGACAACTTGCAACTGTTCCAGACAACTTATAATTGTTTAAGACAACTTGCAACATTTATTGATCTTCGGTCACTTCCAGATAACATGTAACTGTTCCAGACAACTTGCAACATTTATTGATCCTCAGACACCTCCATACAACTGTGCAACTGTTCCAGACTACTTGCAACTGTCTCATACCACTTGCAACCGTCTCATACCACTTGCAACCGTCTCATACCACTTGCAACCGTCTCATACCACTTGCAACCGTCTCATACCACTTGCAACCGTCTCATACCACTTGCAACCGTCTCATACCACTTGCAACCGTCTCAGACAACTTGCAACCGTCTCAGACAACTTGCAAAAGTCTCAGACAACTTGCAAAAGTCTCAGACAACTTGCAAAAGTCTCAGACAACTTGCAAAAGTCTCAGACAACTTGCAACTAGTCCATACAGCTTGCAATTCTGTCTGAGACAACTTGAAATTCTTTACCAGACAACTTGCAATTCTTTACCAGACAACTTGCAATTCTTTACCAGACAACTTGCAATTCTTTACCAGACAACTTGCAATTCTTTACCAGACAACTTGCAATTCTTTACCAGACAACTTGCAATTCTTTACCAGACAACTTGCAATTCTTTACCAGACAACTTGCAATTCTTTACCAGACAACTTGCAATCCTTTCAGACAATTTGCAATCCTTTCAAACAACTTGCAATCCTTTCAGACAACTTGCAATATCAATTTCAATGCTTCCAGACCAATTACAACACTTCCACCAGGCAGCTTACAGCATTTGAAGACCATTTACAATGCTTCCAGACCAATTTTACAACACTACCAAACAACTTATAACATTCCAGACCAATCAATTGTAGAGCCACTCGACATTTGTTTTTATAAACACAAAATACAAATCTTGAAAATAAAATCTTGCTATATTATAGAAAGAACAGCAAATTAAATTGTATATAATCAAAAATTGCAACAATTTCAGATCAATCAATTGAAACACTTTTAGACCAATTAAAACATTTTTGGACCGGTACAATATTTTTGGACCATTTGCAGCACTACCAGACTAGTAACAGCACTTTCATACCAATTACAGCACTATCAGACCAATTACAGGATTATTAGACTAGTTTCAGCACTTTCAGACCAATTATAGCACTATCAGAATCTGAAAGTTACAGCACTTTCAGATCAATTTCAAAATTCTCAAACTAATTGTGCACTTTCAGACCAATTGCAACATTTTCAGAATAATTACAACACTTTCAGTCCATTAAAAGCAACTATAAATAAACATTATTAATTACAACGATTCAAGACAACTTACAATGCTATCACTGCTGCACAACTTACAACACTTCCAGACAACTTACAACATTTTAAGACCACTTACTACACATCCAGACCAATCAATTGCAACACTATCAGACCGGTTACAGCACTATCAGACCAGTTATAGCACTATCAGACCAATTACAAGATTCTCAAATCAATTGCAACACTTTCAGAGTAATCATAGAACTTCCAAACCAATTACTACAAATTCAGACCAATTGCAACATTTTCAGAACAATTACAACACTTTCAGTTTGTTAAAAACAAATGTAAATATACATTTTTAGACTAATTACAACAATTCCAGACAACTTACAACGCTTCTAGACAAATTGTAATGCTTTCAGACTACTTGCACCGCTGCTACACAATCAAACCAATTACTACACATCCAGACCAATCAATTGCAAAACTTTCGGACCTGTTACAACATTTTCAGACCAATTTCAGCACTTTCAGACCAATTACAGCAATATCAGACCAGTTACAGCACTATCAGACCAATTACAAAATTCTCAAATCAATTGCAACACTTTCAGAGTAATCATAAAACCAACTTCAAACCAATTACTACAAATTGAGACCAATTGCAACATTTTCAGAACGATTACAACACTTTCAGTCCATTAAACAAGTATAAATATACATTTTTAGACTAATTACGATTCCAGACAACTTACAATTCTACTAAAAAAACTGCAAGGGTTTCAGACAACCTGCATCACTGCTGCACAACTTACAATGCTTCCAGACAACTTACAACATTTTAAAACCACTTACTACACATCCAGACCAATCAATTGCAACATTTTCAGACCAGTTATAGCACTTTCAGACCAGTTGCAGCACTTTCAGACCAATTACAAGATTCTTCACAAAACTTTCAAACAATTACTACAAATTCAGATCAATTGCAACATTTTCAGAACAATTAAAACACTTTCAGTTCGTTAAAAACAAATGTAAATATACATTTTTAGACTAATTACAACAATTCCAAACAACTTACAAGGCATCCAGACAAATTGTAATGCTTTCAGACAACTTGCACCACCGCTACACAACTTACAACGCTTCCAGACAACTTTTAAGAACAATTGCAACAATTCCAGACCAAACAAATGCAACACTTTCACCAATCACAACATTTTCATTACAATTGCAACACTTTCAAGCCATTAAATATAAATATAGATATAAATAAATTATATAAATATAAGTTATCTATTAACCTGGTAAGGCATTGTCCAACTCATCTAAATTAAAAGGCTTCTTTTTCTTTTTCTTTTTTTTCCCATCCAAATCAATATCGGGGATTTCTTCAACAGGTTCACTGGTTTCCATAGGGGTGCTGCTGTCATCTCCCAGCACTGCATCAATATCGAACGCTGTCTTCTTCTTTTTCTTCTTCTTGAGGGACAAGTCGAACATCTGGAAAAGGATAATTGATCTATAACTAAGAATAATGATAAGAAGATAATTATTGTGTGCATTGATGATGAATTAAATTCTGTTTTCTTGTTTTGCACATCAAAAGAAAAACTGACTGACACTTTTGCTAAACATACAATATACTTTTGGAAAGAACGGTGCTAATTAGAACATAGTGCAAAAATTTTAAAAACAACATCACAAAAGCACAAATAATATTTACAATAAGAAAATAGTTAAGATAACTCATTTACAATTATATTCAGACTTATTTTGTAAGATCTAAGCAGAATACACGATTTTATGCAAATATTGTTTATTAAATTAATGTATTGTTTTCAGTATTATTTTAACAGGTACTCATTTATTTATATTTATTGTCAACGAATCGAGAAGATCTGTTCAAACAATTTTCTAGTACATATGGCATATCAATATATGTACAAAAGGCATATCAATATTTATCATAAACTAAATAGCTGTTTTATTCACTTTTTTATGGTGATGGAATATTTATAATTTACAGTCCGCTTAATGTCTGATTAATCAAAGTAATCCTCACCATTATGAAAAATACTTATGATATAAAATAATACTTCTTATAGTGTTGTTATTGTACCGGTGCCTTACAAAATATAAAGGAAAGTTAAATTCCATAAAAAATCTGAAATACGGCCAAGAACAGTAAATGTAAATTCAAAGATACAAGCAAATTCTTCTGCATTTGAGTTATTTATTTCCTAGAATCTAATTTTTTGCAACTACAGCATTATATTGCTGTTACTTCAGGGATAAATCAAATGTTCATTGTTTATAGTTTATCGAAACCAAATAATTGAAAAGTCCAAAATCTACAAAATATGATAATGAAGTCGTGATGTATTTTGAAAATTTATAGAATATGTCTGTAAAGAAAATATCACAATGTTGCAAATGCTAAATGAATAATGTTCGTGTGTATATATGGATTTTAAATACAGCCCATTGTCTGTCTATAATAACTTTAAACATTTAAATAATCCACCATACTGTAACATCCAACACCTTGCCCCTCGAGCCCCAAAAATGACAGTACCTCGTGGTATTTTCCACCACAACAAATAAATTAAACAAAACCCCTCCAAAGCCACCTAGTGCACCCAAAATAAACAAACCGCACTCCATCATTCATCTACAACATTATATTGCTGTTACTTAAGGGATTACTTAAGTCAAATGTTGTTTATAGTTTATCAAAACCAAATAATTGAAAACTCCAAAATCTCCAAAATATATATAATGAAGTCGTGATGTATCTTGAAAATTTGTAGAATATATATCTGTAAAGGAAATACTATTACAATGTTGCAAATGCTAAATGAATAATGTTCGTGTGAATATATGGATTTTAAATGTAGCAACTTTTTTGTCTATAATAACTTTTCTGTCTATAATAACTTTAAACATTTAAATAATCCGCCATACTGTAACAACCAACACCTTGCCCCTTGAGCCCCAAAAATGACAGTACCTCGTGGTATTTTCCACCACAACAAATAAATTAAACAAAACGCCCCCAAAACCACCTTCTGTACCCAAAATAAACAAACCGCAATTCATATTTCCATTTTATTTTATTATTTTCCACGACTGCACATTCCACGAAAACGCATATAACCCCATTTTTGTCACCAAAAAATATTCTCAATACTTACTGCTTCTTCTTCTGTCATTTTTATTTTTACCAAAAGACTACAGTAGTTTATAAATAAAGACAATAAGTAACGAGAACACTGTAATTTATACACACATTTGTATTAAATATTGATAAAAATACATTTGTGATTGCATCAGCCAAAATGCTGAATTGGAAAAGGACACATAGAGGGACACACGCCGATTGTTGCAGGAAAACTGACAGTAGATAATGTACCATAGAGATAGTTTCTGATAGATGTACACTTATTTTGTCTATGGTTTTATGTAAGGGTGCTTCCAGATGCGTCCATTAATCATGTAAAGTTTTTAGGGGTAGTGGGGTTTGACAAAAAAAAAAACACAAAACTAGTGGGGTGTATGACATCATGCCTTAAGGCAAATTGCTGGAACTTCCCGTACCATAACAAAATGTTCGAGGAATATTAAATGTCGTTAATTAGATTATTATAAATTATTTATTTATAAATATTGTAACATTGTCTAATATTTATAAGAATTATATAAACTGAATTGCAAAGTTGAAATTATTTGTTTAAAGTATATTAGAACTTTAGTCAGAATTAAAAATAAAATCTGAATTATTTGGGATATACAAAAAAAAATTCTAAAAATAAAATGAAAAAAAAAATGAAATAATTCTTTTTTCCAAAATCAAATATTTTGTTAAAACAAGCAGAATGTTCTTTGAATCATTTAAATCGGACGCTTAGTTCTCTCAAAAACTGCCATTTTTTGCACATTTAGCTCCGTATCTTCGAAATGGCTGGGCCTGCTTTTGCCAAAATCTGATAAACACTTCTCCCAATCATTACTAATTGAATGTTTTTTAGAACATTCAAATCGGATGCTCCGTTCTCTCAAAAACTCGATTTTTATTTCCTGCACTCTTTGCTATTTTTCTCCGTAACTGCTAGACCTGCCTTTGCCAAAAACTAATCAGCTCATCTCCCTATCAATAGGAATTGAATGTTTTTTGAACCATTCAAATCGGTTGATCCGTGCGCCCAAAAACGTGACTGGAAATTTGTATCTATACATCTATACACACACACATCTATGTTTTCTGAGGTATGCCAAAATGTTCAGAAACCTTCAAAACGTCGAGAAATGTAAAAATTTTCAATTTCGATTTTCGGCATATTACAATAACTTACCATATGGGAAGTTAAATATCACGAGGGGGAGGGAGGGGTGTAGTAAAATATCACGTGCATTTATTTTTTTACCTAAATTTAAAAAAAAAATCCAAACATTTAAAAAAAAAATTCAATAATTTTACCATATACTCATACGACAGAAAACTTAAATATGAATATTATTTATTCATACATAATAGAATATTTTATTACATATTTTAATAATATAATGCAATTTTGAAGTAAAACTTTTTTGGGCGCGACTAGAGTGTAAATCCGTACAAATGCAACGGACGTGCGTTACGGCAGATAAGAGTCGATAAAATAAGAGTCGCGTGGCAGTGATTATTTAAAAAAAAAATCTAAACATTTTCAAAAAAAATCAACAATTTTATTCATACGACAGAAAACTTAAGTATGAATATTATTTATTCATACATAATAAAATATTTCATTAAATATTTTAATAATATAATACAATTTTGAAGTAAAACTTCTTTAGGCGCGACTAGGGTGTAAATCGGAACAAATGCAACGGAAGTGTGTTACGGCAGATAAGAGTCGATAAAATAAGAGTCGCGTGGCAGTGATTATTTTTAAAAAAATCTAAACATTTTCAAAAAAATTCAATAATTTTACCATATACTCATATGACAGAAAACTTGAATATGAATATTATTTATTCATACATAATAAAATATTTTATTAAATATTTTAATAATATAATACAATTCTGAAGTAAAACTTCTTTAGGCGCGACTAGGGTGTAAATCCGTACAAATGCAACGAAAGTGCGTTACGGCAGATAAGAGTCGAGTGCCAATGATTCGTCATTCGCTCTCGATTATATAATTTCTATACGGGTCTATTATGATTAGCCGTCCTGTATGTGAATAAAGATCTGTCGTTGTATGCGTAACGGCATCAACGTTGTATGCGTACCGATATCAACAAGCAAATCGGCATAGATAAATAAACATTTTAAAGTCACATCGTAGCACGAATCTTGATTTAATGAAAAATGCCTGAATCAGAAGAATATTTTACCTGTTCCATGAAAATAATAAAACAAATTAAACATTTGCGCTGTGTACTAAACGTAAGTTTTATTTGAGATTATAAATTATTACTCGTAGTTTCTATAAATCTTTGAAGTTATTAAAATAGAAAAGATTTTCTAGGCAAGACAGATATTACAGCTGTTCAAAGATAAGATTATATCGCAGGCAAAAAAGTGAAAAAAACAAGCAGTCAATGAATGTATGTTAATTTTAATTACATGAAATTCTACAAACACCAATATATGATGAGTAGAGTTGCAAAAACAATATTTGTTTAGGCGTTGTTTAACATAATCCACTATATGAACGAATATTATAGAATTTATTAATCAGCAATTACTTTATTTCTCTAATGAAGGTTTATTGTTTGTAAATGTTAAAGCAAACCGCGCGCATGTCAAAAACAGAATTCGTCGTGCGCGTTCGTGCAGTGGAGACGGGCCATAAGATTTTAACTTGATATTTATTATATGAACACGGGGTATTCTAATCCTAGACAATATAATAATCTAATATTGTCTAGGATTATATCAAAATTGAGTAACATGTGTTTAAAAAAGCATGAATATGAAAAATGTTCATTCAGGGTAAGTTATAGTAATCGCATAAAAATCAAAAATGAAAATTTTTATATATCTTTACGTTTCAAAGGTTTCTGAATATTTTGGCATACCTTAAAAAAATGGATGTGTGTGTGCGTGTATGTGCGGATACAAATTTTCATCGACGATTTCGGGAACACGGATGAAGCGATTTGAATAATTCAAAAAACATTCGATTCGTATTGATAAGGAGACGTGCTGATTAGTTTTTGGCGACGGCAGGTCTAACCGTTCTGAAGATATGGGGCAAAAAGTGCCAAAAACGTTAACTCAGTTTTTTAGAGAACGGAGCCTCCGATTTGAATAATTCAAATAACATTTTACTTGTATTAACAAGATGAAGAACTGGTCAAATTTTCATGTTGCCAGGTCTAGCGGTTTCGGAGATCTAGTAAAAAAAAAGTAAAAAAAATGCCAGTTGGCGGTCAAAAATGATCATTAGACATATGTACATCAAATTATCAGATATTTTATAGAGATTTTAACGATAAGTATAAATTTTGTTTACATTCCTATGGGTTCCGTACCAATGTTTATCCGTTAGGCGGCGACGCGGCGCTTACGCGCTTTGACATTTTGTCTATATGCAGTTAAAGCAGTACGATTGCTTTAAAAAAGTTCAGAATTTCCAAAATATGTCAAAATAAAGAAAACATTTAAAAAAAAAAAAAAATCAAAAAAAGTAATTTTTTGTCAATTTCATAGTTACTCAAAAATCTAATATTTTCGAAGTAATTTTTTTTCAAAAATGTTAATCGTTTTTAAAAAAATAATAATATTTGGTACGGAAAGTTCCAGCAATTTGCCTTAAGGCTAGATGCCATGCGCCCCACTAGTTTAAAACTCATTTTACTCAATTTAAATATAATAAATATCAAGTTCAAATCATGGACTATTATGAAATATTCAAAGACATCTATCCACGGATTTTTAAACAAAGTTTTTGCAGTTTTATTTTCATGAAATATTCAAAGGTAATTTTGAATATTGGCAAAAACTTTGTTTAAAAATCAGTGGATAGATATATGTTTGAATATTTCAAGAAAATAAAATCCGTGGATAGATATCTTTGAATATTTCATGAAAATAAAACAGCAATAACTTTGTTTAAATATCCGTGGATAAATATCTTTGAATATTTCACAGAAATAAAATCCGTGGGGATCTTTGAATCTTTCATGAAAATAAAACAGCAAAAACTTTGCCGTAAAAAGTCATGGACAAAAAAATGTGTATGTGTTTGACAAGTCTGATTTGAATGTAAAAGTTGCAATTTGATATCATTTTCAAATTGATAAAAATTCCACTCCACCCAGCAACCAAAATTTTCTTTGCACAGAATCATCATTTATATTTCTTTATAATTATTTCATCATTGCAAAACTTTTTCATCGTCTCCATTACTAATTCACAAATAGTTATTCCTGGTATCCTTTTGTCCTTATTATTCATGAAAATATCTTTTGCATGCTTTGAAATAAAAATAATGTATAAATCATGTTTTTTTATTTACTTAAATGATCATACATTTGAAACAATCACTCGATTACGTTTATATCACTGAAAATTCAAATACAGCATTATTACATATAGGGAAAAGGACTCGTTTATAATATTAAAGTACATTTTTGAATAAATATAAATGTGAAATATTTAATGCAAATTCTAATGAATTCTTTGTGAGAAATAGACTTTATATTATCGTTAATAAAATTTTTAACTAAGGCGTATTATTAGAAGCAAATAATAAGTAATAAATAAATGCATAAGTACGTTTGAATAAAGTTATAATATATATATATATATATATATATATATATTTATATATATAAATTTTAAAAAATTTTAGAAACTTTTATTTAGTACACAAATAAGAATTGATTATAGAAATATTTAAATGTATTTTTTTCCAAAATGTACTTTAATATTTTTTGATAACTTTGTTTTAATTGTATATATATATATATATATATATATATATATATATATATATATATATATATACAAATGCACATGTAACATCTAAATAACACTTGAAAAACGTCCACACGAGTAGAAATGAAAAAAACATTTATATATACATCAATTTATATATATATATATATATATATATATATATATATTATTTTATGTATATATAAACATTTATACATAAATTTACATCTCGGGTTCAAAACCATGTCTTTTAGCCCTTAATATCGCTTTAGCACAATACGATTACTCATTAAAACAAAATAAAGCAATAAATTGAATAATATATATCAAAACAAACCCATTAAAATAAATTAAAGTAGTTAAAAGAATACTACTTCAACAAACACAAAAAGAAGGAAGATGATAATTATTTTGACAACTTAAGGGAAGACGTTAGAAAATTATATTGAA